TTCAATTCATACGTTATTTATTGAATCTTTCAATTTGGAAACTAACAATAAGTGATCAAATCTTAAAACTAAATTTATATTTTTTTCCTAAGCCATTGATTTGGAAAAAATTATTAAGACATTAATTTATTTAATAAAATAAGATTGAAAATTAATATTAAAATTAAAATTGAGATTAAATTTAATTCAAGAAATCACATTCAGTTCAATTAAAGAAAATTTATAATATTTTAAATGAAATAAAAATTTTGAAGGTTAACAGATGTTAATGGTGTCCTTCTTTTTTAGACGTCTGTGGCCTTTGTTCAGTAGCAGCATGTAAGCTAATTGGTTAGGATGGTCTTCTAACTTTAAGAGATGCTGACGGCTACATCGAGCAGCTTCTTCTATTATTGTTGGCACGCTCAAATCTCTATGAAGGTTAGCATTTTTCAGAAACCACGGTGCACCTGTTATCATTCTTAGGGTTTTAGATTGCAGCCTTTGCAGTTTTTCAATATTTGATGGCATCGCTGTTCCCCACAGTTGAATTCCGTAACTCCATATTGGTTTTATTATCGACTTGTATAGCAAAATTTTGTATTCAAGTGGTAGCTTAGATGACGTGCCCATAAGCCAGTGCAATGAACTTAATTTTATGTTTATTTGTGTCTTTTTAGCCTCTATGTGTTTGTTCCAAGTTAAACGTCTGTCTAGATGTATCCCTAAATATTTTACATTGTCGCTTGAAGGTACTTTTTGCTCATTTATTGTAATATTGGGACAGTTTCCTGGTCTTAGAGCAAATGTTACATGGGTACATTTTTGTTCATTGACTTTGATACGCCATACTGATAACCATTTCTCAAGTTGGTGAACATGTTCTTGAAGCATGCGTTGTGCGATTGCGGGGTTTTTGTGTGCACTTAGTATTGCTGTATCGTCAGCAAATGTTGCAGTTAAAGTGTTTTCCGAAGTTGGCATATCACTTGTATACAGCAGATATAATAGCGGACCTATTACACTTCCTTGTGGAACTCCAGCTTTGATAGGACAGGGTTCTGAAACAAAATCTTTATATTTTAAAATAAAAGTTCTTCTGCTTAAGTAGTTTTTTAACAAAAGGTGAGTGTTAACTGGCATGAGAGTTGTAATTTTATGTATTAAGCCTTCGTGCCATACTTTATCAAACGCTTGGGCTACATCTATAAATATGGAAGTGCAGTATTGTTTATTTTCAAATGAGTTTCTTACGAATGATACAATACGATGCACTTGTTCAGTTGTACTGTGTTTAGCTCTGAAGCCGAATTGATGCTCCGGAATTATTTCGTTAGCTGAGAGTATTGGCATTATTTTTGTTATTAGTAGCTTTTCAAATATTTTTGATAATACTGGAAGGACGCTAATTGGTCTGTAGGATTCTACTTTGGTTTTGTCCTTTCCAGGTTTAGGTATCATTGTTATTTGTGACATTTTCCAAAGTTTGGGATAATATCCTGTCCGTAAGATAGCGTTAAATAAATGCCTGAGATGTATAATGGCACATTGTGGTAATTGTTTCACCATTGTAACTGAGATTTTATCAGGTCCTGCTGCCTTTTTCGCATTGAGATCTTTTATAATTTTATTGATATTTTCTAGTTTAAAAATAAGGGGCCTGCTCGAAGGATATAGGTTTGTAATTGGTAAAGAAGTATTTTGTGAAGCATTATTTGGAGTAAATACATTTTTCAAGTGTTTTACAAATATTTCCCCTTTCTCTGAGTCACTTCGTGCCCAGTCACCATTTTCTAGTCTGAGAGGAGATTCATGCTGGATAGGCTGTTTGAGGTACTTTGTTGCCTTCCAAAGTGAATAATCCGTTTGTTCATTAGGTGCCAAATTGAATAGAAAATTGTCTAGGGATTTTTGATGTCTTTCCGCTAGTGCATATTTGAGTTCATTTGTACATTTAGCTAGTAAAACTTTATGTTTTGGGGATCTGTGCCGTTGCCATAGTCTTCTAGCGTTTCTCTTTCGTTGTAATAATCCCTCTATTGTTTTTGTCACACCGATTTTTTTGGGTTCTTTTTTTTCAATTCTTATAGAAGCTACTTCAACACCCATTGAGATTACTTCAGAAAATTGGTTAACACAAGCATCAATTTCATTATTCACCTTTAACGAAGCATGTTGAGGTATATGACAAGAAACATATTTACGAAATTTTAACCAGTTTATATGTTTTGTTAGACATTGCGTTTGGATAGTTCTATTCTGTTGACTTTGCATTGTTATTATTGTTGGTGAGTGGTCTGATGACAGTTCAACTAATGGAAATGCGGTGATTGTTGATGGTTTGATATTTTTGCTTAGACCAAAGTCGATAAGATCTGGGACTTTTTGTCGATCAGAAGGCCAGTATGTTGGGTGTCCAGTTGAAATCACATTGAGATCTTCACTTTTCACAACTGCTAGAAGTTTCCGTCCTCTTGGCGTTATTAGCCTTGAACCCCAGAATGTGTGCTTCGCATTAAAATCGCCTGCGACCAGAAATTTAGAACCGAGTGTTTTAAAAAAGTTTTGGAAGTCTTGGACTTCTATATTGTGATTGGGTGGACAATATATTGCAGCTATTACGATATTTTCTCCATATTCATCAAATCGGATAGCTGTCGATTGTAGATAATCTTTGCTGAAGTCTTCTTAAACAAAATGTTTAAGTCTTTTTTTTATTATAATACCAGTACCTCCTCGAGCCATTCCTTTGGGATGCTTGGTGTCATAAAAGCAGTAATTTGGAATTTTGAAAGCGTTTTTTTGAGTAAGATGTGTTTCGGACACAAGCATAATATCAATTGCATTACTAATTAAAAAATATTCAATTTCAAGTTTGTGGTTGTTTATACCGTTTGCATTCCAGTGACATATTCTAATGGAGTTGCTCATTTTTTCATTATTAGAGTTTGCATTAGAGCAGTTTGATTTTTTATAAGTTCTTGCATCATACTTTGCATACTATACATAAAAAGATTAAGACTTTGGATCAGTGTTTTTAGCGTCTCTTCTAAATTATCTACTGCTGGTATTGCCAATTGTTGAGGTTGAATATTTTCTCTTAATACATTTGCATAACTTTTGCCTTGAGAGATTGTTGCTTCTGTATTGTTTATTTGTTCTTGGTAGTAATTTTTGGGTGGCACAGCGTTTAATTGATTTTTGGGAAGAGTTCTCTGCTTAACTGCAACAAATACGGTACAACCCCTATAATTTGCAGTATGATTTTTGCCGCAATTACTGCATTTTTTTGCATTTGCATCTTCTTTCGGTTTTGGACATATGGAGGATTTGTGTAGATCTCCACATATTACACATACACTAGGTAAGGTGCAATAGGTTCGAGTATGGCCAAATTCTTGACAGTTAGTACACTGTATTGGATCTTTTCTTTTGAAAGGCTCTTCTACTGTTATCCTTCGATGTAAAAGATAACGAAGATTGTAAATTGGGTGCACTTCTCCTTTAGCGAGTTTTTTTTGCGTTTGGCTCAAGTTCTACTTTAAATATTGGCTGAGGTGTTTTATTTTTGTTTTTAATATTAAAGATGGACTTTGCTTCAAATCCGGCTTCTGCCGGATTTTAAATTTAATTATCTTTTAAGTTGTCTTTCGGGTGCGGCGTTGAGCGTAGTACAACCATTTCAAATAACCGAGGAAAATTATACAAAGGCTCTAACGCAATTACAATTGAGATATGACAAAAAGGTCTTAATTTTTATGGAACATATTAATTCCCTTTTTTTTATTAAAGATATGACGAAGGGCGACTCAATCACACTCAGGCATATTGTAGATACAGTGTCTGCTTTATTTGGTTCACTTCTATCGTTGGGTTCGGAAGCAGACATTCTGAACGCCATAATTATTCATTTAGTATTGTCTAAAGTGGATAACGAAACTAAAATTTTTTATGATTCTCAGCAAGATTTTGAGTCATTGCCATGTTGGGAAAGTTGCTACTCACTTTTGAGTCGAAGATGTCAATTTCTGGATAGCAATTCGAAAAGATGCAATAATGATAAAGTAAATGATACCAAAAATAATTCTTTTAACAGAAAATTGACCACATTTGTTAACACCAAAATCAATTGTATGAAGTGTAATGGAGGAGACCACAGCCTAGGATCATGTCCATCGTTTGTAAAACTGACTTTTAACGACAAATTCAAATTCGTAAAAGATCTTTTTGTTTGCTTAAATTGTCTACGCAAAGGGCACGTCGTTAAAAATTGTCAATCCACAGCTCACTGTCGAATATGCAATGGTATGCATCATACGTGTTTGCATAAATTCAAACCCATCGAGCAAAATGTGAGACCAAATTTGTCAGACAGTCCACCTGGACAACTAAATTTTCCGCAATCTCCATCAATTTCTCTAGTATCGCGTACTAAACAACGATCATTGATTCCCACAGCTGTAGTACTTATTAAGGATAAATACGGTTTATACCAACCTATACGAGCATTACTGGACTCTTGTTCAGAGATAAGTTTTATCACTGAAAAGATGGCAAAGCAACTTCAATTACCATTTGAGCGAATAAACCAGGAAGTGTCAGGCATTGGTGATGTTAGAACACAAATTCGCCATTCAATAACTGCAACTATAAAATCTCGAATATCAAAATTTGAATGGTCATCGCAATTCGCTGTCACTAAACGTATCTCATTGAACCATCCAGAGCAGTTGATAGACACAACATCGTGGAATTTTCCTGAAAGCCTTGTTTTAGCTGATCCATTATTTTTTAAACCACAACACATTGACTTATTAATAAGTACGCAGGGATTTTTTGAATTAATATTAGATGGGAAAATTTCGTTAGGCACCAGCCTTCCATGTTTATTAAATACCGAATTAGGGTGGATCATCGGAGGACAATATAAAAATACGCCTACTGACCGGGCACTCACTTGTAACTACATTCAGTCGTCTAATATAGATTCAATGTTACAAAAATTTTGGAAAATTGAAGAATTAGAAAGCGATCAAAAAATTAATTACTCTAAGGAGGAGTTGAGTTGTGGGAAACATTTTGTAGAAAATACCACAATTATAAGCAATGGTCAAATACAAGTTCGATTACCATTTAAAGAGTCTCCAGAAGTCTTAGGTGAATCATTTGAAATGGCGAAACGAAGATTCCTTTCACTTGAGCGTCGATTAGAGCGTCAGCAGACTCTCAAAGAGGATTATGTTAAGTTCATGCAAGAATATTTGATGTTAGGTCATATGAGTCGTGTCGACAACTTTGACAATATCACACCGCACTATATAATACCTCATCATTGCATATTGCGGCCTCAAAGTACCACAACAAAATTGCGCGTCGTATTTGATGCATCTGCATGCACATCATCGGGTCGATTACTTAATGAAATCTTAATGGTGGGACCTACAATTCAGCAGGATCTTATTTTGACATTATTGACATTTCGTTTACATCGCTATGCACTGACTGCGGATATATCAAAAATGTATCGACAGTTTGTAGTTGATCCAAGAGATCGTAATTTTCAATTAGTTATTTGGAGAAATACTGTTAATGAACCTCAGCAACTTTTTCAGCTCAACACAGTAACTTACGGAATGTCAGCAGCACCATTTCTGGCCATCAGAAGCCTGACTTACCTTGCAAATGCGTATCAAAAGGAGATGTCAATTGGAGCTTCAGTTTTGAGCAATGACTTGTATGTTGATGACTTGCTAACGGGAGCAGAC